CTCCAGGCTGGGAGACAGAATGAGACTCCATCTCAAAAATAAATAAATAAAAAAGAAAAATTCATGCAAAGATAGTTGTTTCTATAAAAACCAAGTGGAATGGATTGGAAAAATTTGATAGAGAAAGTCACTTAAAAATTTTTCTGTTGATTTTTTTCTTTCTCTTTTTTAGAGACAGGGTCTTAGTCTGTTATACAGGCTGGAATGCGGTGGTGTGATCAGAGCTCACTGCAACCTTCAACTCCTGGGCTCAAGTGATCCTCCCATCTCTGCTTCCCTAGTAGCTGGGACTACAGGTGCTGGGACTACTACCACCACACCCAGCTAACTGTATAAATTTTATACAGACAGAGTCTCACTATGTTGCTCAGGCTGGTCTTGCTGTTGATTTAAAGATATAAAAAGGTAGGGAAGAAAAATAAAAATCCACAATTCTGCATGAATATATTTTTCACAAGTGTTTTTATGTTCTCGTTTTACTTTAAAAAAAAAAAGTCAGAAACAATGAAATAATGTATTGGTAATAAACTCCACACAAGAAAGATAATGGAAAACAAAAGGCAGTAAACCTATTTTGAAAGACTGAAAAATCTTTTGTGTTTGCAGTTAGGATAAAGTTAGGATGCAAGTTAGGATAAAATATTTAAAGTATATGACTATTTCATACTTTTACCTTCAGCTAACTTTTTTAGTTAAAAAAAAAAACAGGAAAATTTGGGAAAGTTAATGAGCAAAATATTTACAAAGGGTGAGGAGGGCTTAGAGAAACCAACAAAGAGTAATGCAGTGCCACAGATCTATTGACAGTGAGGGAGCCTCTGCCTCCTTTATACTTAAGGAAACCCAGGGAATGAAGCCATATGGAAGGTCCTTTTGTGATGGACCAGTTGAAGCGACCCAGCAAGAAAGAAGCCAAAAATTAAGCCACCAGCCTCCTCTTCTCCTGCCTCTGACTCCTGCTAATGCGCACTGCTGCAGAGATTAACAGGAGATATGTAGCATAATCCATCACTTTTGTCGTTTATATCCACTCTTGATTTTTTATATGGGTGGGAAATTTATGCACTCAATGTGATGAATTCCCAAGGCTGATTAGATAATGTAACATTTTTAGGGAAATATTAATTAGAACATATTCCCCTCTGTAAATCTAAAATATTAGCAACACCATTGTGTGCTGTCTCCTCCTTAGAGCATTTGATAAAGGGACCGTTCACAGAAGTGTGGACAGGACTTAATGGCACCAAAAAAGGATATAGGGCTTTACTCTTTCTTCCCTCTTTAGGCTTTACTCTGCTTTTTCTTTTCTTTTTTTTTTTTTTTTTTTTTTTTGAGACAGAGTCTCACTCTGTCTCACTCTTTCTCCCAGGCTGGAGTGCAGTGACGCTATCTCAGCTCACTGCAACCTCTACCTCCTGGGTTTAAGCGATTCTCCCTCCTCAGCCTCCTGAGTAGCTGGGACTACAGGCGCATGCCACGACACCCGGCTAATTTTTGTACTTTTAGTAGAGACTGGGTTTCACCATATTGGCCAGGCTGGTCTCAAACTCTTGACCTCAGGTGATCCACCCGCCTTGGCCTCCCAAAGTGCTGGGATTGCAGGTGTGAGCCACCACGCCCGACTGGCTTTTCTCTTCTGAAAGAGTCGTGGCAGCTGCTTCCAAGAGAGGGTGGCTGTATGTAAAGAGCTACTTCCTTTCTTTGCTCCCAGTTTTTCATGTGACAGAAGCCCATCTCTTTTAATCAAAAGGAGTGGAGGAGGAGGACAGACCTTTTCCTTTTGTCTTTGTCCATAGAAATAGATTGTTATTCTTTTGTGTGTGTGTGTGTGTGTGTGTGTGTGAATGTGTATGTCTGTAGGTATATAGATGTATATATACAGTCAGGTGCTGCATAATGACATTTGAGCCAATGATGGACCACATATATAATGGTGATTCCATAAGATTATAATGGAGCTGAAAAAATCCTATTGCCTAGTGACATCATAGCTGTTGTAATGTTGTAGCACACTTTATTTTTAATAAATTTATTGTAGCCTAAATGTACAGCATTGATGAAGTCTATAGTAGTGTACAGTAATGTCCTAGGCATTCACCTTTACTCAGAGAAACTTCCTGTCATGCAAGCTCAATTCATGGTAACAATGCTATAGAGAGGTAACATTTAAAAAAATCCATATTTTTACTGTGTTTTGATATGTTTAGATACACAGATACTTACCATTGTGTTACAGTTGCCAACAGTATTCAGTACAGTAGCATGCTGTACAGGTTTGCAGCCTGGGAACAATGGTCTATATCATATAGCCTAGGGGTGCAGTAGGTGATACTGTGCTTGTGTAAGTGCACTCGATGATGTTGGCACAACAACAGAATTGCCTAACGATGCATTTCTTGGAATATATCCCTGTTGTTAAGCGACACCTGACTGCATTTTCAAAAACTAACATTTTCAGCAGTTTTCAGCTCTCCCTATAAACACCAAAATAAAAATAAAAATGTAAGCATTTGTCAAGAAACAGTGAGACATTGAGAAGTGGGTAAATTAATGAAATTATCATTTGCATATAGAAAATAACATAAGTTGATTATTGGTACATGCTCAGAAATCTGTAAGAAGATATTTCATAGCATACCTGGAATATTATGAAAAATTTTATATTTTCTCATGGATAATTATAATCGATTTGTGATTCTCTATGTCTATATAAAGACCTGTCTTTGAATTGTGCTCTACATGTACACACAGAAAAAAATACCCATTGTGTATTTCAACCATTTATAATTGTTCAATAATACTAAGTAGAATGGCATGAATAATTTGTCATTGGCATTAGCCTGTATTTTTTGTAACTATGAAGATTATTTTTAACTAAGTCATACTATCAGATGTTTTTGATGAGAATCACTCCTGTGAAGCTCTTTGCCAGAAACACACACACCCAAACACACACTTTTTAACTGTATGGATTATTCAATTTAAGTTGACATGAAAATGTACTTTGTAAATTTGCTAATGAAAGACAATCTTTGAGATAAGCAAAACAAGGCATTGACTACAGTTTGACCAAATCAGCCTTTTTAAAAACTGTGAGATCAATCAGTTCCTTGCAAATCATCAGTAAATCTGATGTATAGCATTACATTTTTATTTTTACAGATTTTAATTTCTCGGTTTAATTACTCTGCATTCCTCTGGTTAGAAAAACAACCTGATGAGTTATTTTTATTTATAGCGTTTCCATTCAATGTGCTTATGATTATATTTCAGTGCATTGGAAATTTGCAATCATCTATTTCAGTGCCTTTAAAGTTTTTTTTTTTGGAATTAAGCTTTTGATAAAGGTTAAAGAACTGTTTTTAAAGATAAAATATTATTTGCTAAGATGCTCAGTAAGGAAATGTGCAAATACGTGGATTACAAAATCATTACAAAGAGATGACATTATAATTTGTATTTGGCAAAATCATTCAGTTTTATAATCATTAGACCTTTATTGAGTATTTCTAAATGAAGACCTGTGTGGCACAAGATAACTTCAATTTGTGCTCAGAAATGTATAAATTTGATGTTAATAATACAAAAGAAGTCTACTCTTATTTAGTAGGCACCTTGTGAGCAATGTAACCATTGGGCTATATCAGCACACATTTCAGATTCTTTAGCTTGGCTTGAAAGACCTCTCATGGCCTCCTCCTCCAGTCCTACTCTGATCACTACTCTTTGACAGCTGTGCTGATCTTACTTGAATTTCTCTAAATGCCTTCCTCTTTTTGGTTTCTGGTCTTCTTGCATGCTTGTTCTTCTCCCTATCTTGACTGCCGTTCCTGCCCCTACATTGCCACCTTTTCATTGAACCAAGTCCAAATAATCTTCCAGCACCAGTCTACATGTCATCTTATGTATGTAATGATGCCCAACAACTGTTTATTAAATGCATTATCTGGTCCCACTTGACTAGGGTAGGCTATCTGGCTACATATATGTTCTTATTGCCCCTTCAAATGCTAAGACAGCGCTCATCAACTATTACTGTAATTTCTTTTTAAATTTTTTAAAATGTATTTTTATTCCTATTTATTTATTCATTTATTTTAACTTTAAGTTCTGGAATACATGTGCAGAACGTGCAGGGTTGTTATATAGGTATACATGTGCTGTGGTGGTTTACCGCACCTATCATCTCGTCACCTAAGTTTTAAGGCCTGCATGCATTAGCTATTTGTCGTGATGCTCTCCCGCCCCTCCCCCGGCACCGCCCAACAGGCCCCAGTGTGTGTTGTTCCCCTACCTGTGTCCATGTGTTATTATTGTTCAATTCCCACTTATGAGTGAGAACATGCGGTGTTGGTTTTCTGTTCCTGTGTTAGTTTACTGAGGATGATGGCTTCCAGCTTCATCGTTGTCCCTGCAAAGGACATGATCTCATTCCTTTTTGTGGCTGCATAGTACCACATATGATATACACATAGTGTATATTATACACATAGAGTGGTGTGTGTGTACCACATTTTCTTTATCCTGTCTATCATTGATGGGCAGTTCGGTTGGTTCCATGTCTTTGCTGTTGCGAATACTGTTGCAACAAACATAAGTGTGCATGTATCTTTATAACGGAATGATATATATGCCTTTGGGTATATACCCAGTAATGGGATTGCTGGGCCAAATGGTGTTTCTGGTTCTAGATCCTTGAGGAATCGTCACAATGTCTTCCATAATAGTTGAACTAATTTACATTCCCACCAACAATGTAAAAGCATTCCTATTTCTCCATAGCCTCACCAGCATCTGTTGTTTCTTGGCTTTTTAATAATTATTACTGTAATTTCTTATTTAATGCACTTGTCTCCCTTGCAGGATATTTAGCTCAGAGGAGGCAAAGCAATGACTATCATGTTTCTCCTTTAAATTCTGCCACCTGTCACCAAGACTGCCCTGTAATAGATGCTCATAAACATTTGGGTAAATGAATCATTTCACAAATCAGACTCATTATGGATCACAAAATATTTTAATGCATCATCTAGAAGAGGTAAGGAATGTAAGTGGGGCAGAGCCCTCAGCATGTTACAAATAACACAGCATATTGGGACAGTAGATCCAGAGAACCACTTCAGAGGTTGGAGATGGTCAGAGGTTGTGGAGAAGCTGTGTTCCTACGTCATGTGAAGCTGGTGTGACCACTGGACTCTTCAGCAGGACAGGCCTTAGCATTTTACCTTTCTAGAGCATGCATATGCCGCGTCGCTTCAAAGCTGGTGCATCGAGTAATTTCCTTGTTGAAAGAACTCCAACCAAAGCATTAGCAGTCTGTACACCCAGTTCACAGTGCAGCAACTCAGGGGCTGCTGAAGACACTCAGCTTGGTTCACACAGTTGATCTTTCTGCCTGGAAGTCACACCCGACAGTGTTCAGAGTTCATATTTTTTATACTAATGAAATCAAGAATTGTAAAGAGCCCTAAGGTCAGAAGTGACCCATGTAGTGATGGGAACGTAGCAGTGAAAGATATATATATGAATGAATTAATTGCCAATTTGGTAACTATAATTTCCCACTTGGTTTAAATGAGATTTTCCTTGCTCACAATCAGCATGTGAACCAGTGCCCCTGCGGGGGCACTGCCAGGCTCAGAGCTGTGCTGTCTGACTGGTTTTTGCATTCTTAAATATTCCTTTTCATTCCTCCTGTCCCCGTACTCCTCATGCCAGACACTTTCATCTTTAAATCCAGTTGTTTTTGTCAATATTATTAGAATGACAAATTATATCCTGTAGATTGTCAAATGCATTTATTTACAACAGGCTCCGTAAAAGCTCTCTGAAGTCTGGGGTTGGAAGAGCAACAGCTAACAACTTGCCGGCAGAATCGTTAATCAAATTAAATTGGGGTTTCTAAGCCTTAATATAGGACCCCATCAGGTAATGCCGAGCAAGGCTTCACCTTCTGCAGAGGCTGTAGACAGCGAGCCTGTCACATGACTGCTCTGCCTGCAAGGAGCTCAGGCCAAGAACTTCGCCTGTCATTTTCATTTCCTTATGAAAATCAGCTACTGATGCTTTGAAGAACAGAATACCAATTAGACCATTTGGGGCATGAAGGTAATTTAGTGGGTTAAGAAACAAAAATACTGTCATCAATTCTGTTGCTTACAGCAAATTAGCAGGTGGTCCAGAGAATGAGGGAGGTGATGCACTTTCATGGGCCCAGTTTCCCAAGCTGCAATAAGAAGACATGTTCATCACTGAAAGCAGGCATAGCTTTTGGACATGTTAGCACTTATTTTTTTTTAAGTGTGGAAACAACTCTTAATTTTCCTGTGAATCAGAACTGCAGCTGGGTAATAATTTTCCTCCCTGGTTGAGGTTACCTTTAACTCCCAATTCAAAACTGTATTACATTGACTAGAAGGTACAGATATCAAACCAAACAATTATGCATATACCTTTTTTTCTGACAGGAATAAAGCCATTTTATACTTTATGAATGACAATTCACAGAGGTTCACAGATGATTTGATCACCTTATCCAATTTACATAAATGCAATGTAAAGAGAGATTTATGTTGCCAAATTGGACAGGGTAAATTTTTGAGTTTTCTTAAAGCGTCCTGCAAACTGTTGTCTTCTTACTCTCAACCCCAGTTTTCTCGACACAGGGTCTCTACTGGATTTATTGTCTCTGAGTGGGAAAGTGATGGAAAGACCTAAATAAAGGACTCAGTGTAAAATGTGGGAATCACTGAACAGAAGCAGGTTTCAAAGTGACTTGCCTTATCAGAAGCCAGAAATGATTAAATCTGTAAGAGTTAAAATCGTGTGATGCTGGCATAAATAGATCAATGAAACAATTTACATAGCCATTAAAGAGACTCTAATGTGATGCATATAATTAAAATGAAAAGGAATGGATTATTTAAAAAATTACTGGGATAATTAAGCTGAATGCGGTGGCTCATTCTTTAGTCCCTGCCACGCCAGGGGGCTGAGGCAGGCAGATTGCTTGAGATCCCTTTCGGGCTTCAGTGCACTATGATTGCACTTGTGAGTAGCCACTGCATTTCAACCTGGGCAACATAGTGAGACCGTGTCTCTTAAAAAAAAAAAAAGATTAATCATGTAAGCTAGTTAGACCTTACAGGGGATATTAACCTTGCTTGATTTGTAAACATAATCAAAACTTAATTTGAGCTATTTACTATAAATGCATATTGTCCTAATCCCTTTGTGCTGCTCTAACAGAATACCTGAGACTGGATAATTTATAGAGAACAAAAATTTATTTCTCATAGTTCTGGGGCTGGGAAGTGTAAGATCAAGGTGCCAGCATCTGGTATCTGGTGAGAGTCTTCTTGCTATGTCCTCATGGCAAAAGAATGCAAGAGGGTGAACTCACTCCTGCAAGCCCTATTCATTTATTTATTTAATTTTTGAGACAGGATGTCGCTCTGTCACCCAGGCTGAAGTGCAATGGTGTGATCTCAGCTCAATGCAACCTCTGCCTCCCAGGTTCAAGCAATTCTCCTGCCTCAGCCTCCTGAGTAGCTGGGACTATAGGCTTGCATCACCAGCCCAGGTAATTTTTGTATTTTTAGTAGAGACGGGGGTTCACCATGTTGCCCAGGTTGGTCTTGAACTCCTGACCTCAGGTGATCCACCCGCCTCAGCCTCCCAAAATGCTGGGACTACAGGTGTGAGCCACCAAGCCCAGCCTTCACAAGCCCTTTTTATAGAGGCATTAATTCATTAATGAAGGCAGAGCCCTTATGACCTAAGCACCTCCCATTACTCCCCACCTCCCAACACTGTGGCATTAAGGGTTACGTTTTCAACATATGAATTTTGGGGGACACATTCAGACCATAGCACCTATATTAAAGAAATACATAACTTAATTGCAGCCAATCAGAAGTGGCCAATAAACTTACATAACTAGAGACCTTACATAACTAGAAACCTTATTTGGTTAGACCAAATAAGGCAACTGTATAACTGTAACCAATCAAATATTTCCTTTGCTTTACTTCCTTGTTAATTCTATAAGGTCCTTTCTCTTGAGTTTTCCTGATGGAGATTCTGAAACACTTCTGATTTGGAGCTGCCTGATTTGTGAATTAATGTTTGCTCAAGGCAACTCTTTAGAATTTTGTTGTGCCTCACTTTACCTTTTTAACAAAACAGACACACACATACACATACGTACACACACACATATCTTGGAATTTTTGTCAAACCAAATATGAACAAATTTTGAACTGTTTTAAAATTTGTACTGAAATAGTTGATATCACAATAAAATCTACAAATGTATTAGATGCCTAAATAAAGGTATTTCTGATTTCTCCAGAAGAAATAGTCTTCAGAAGAAATAGTATAGTAGGCCGGGCGCAGTGGTTCAAGCCTGTAATCCCAGCACTTTGGGAGGCCGAGGCGGGTGGATCACGAGGTCAGGAGATCGAGACTATCCTGGCTAACATGGTGAAACCCCGTCTCTACTAAAAATACAAAAAACTAGCCGGGCGTGGTGGCGGGCGCCTGTAGTCTCAGCTACTTGGGAGGCTGAGGCGGGAGAATGGCGTGAACCCGGGAGACGGAGCTTGCAGTGAGCCGAGATCACGCCACTGCACTCCAGCCTGGGAGACACAGCGAGACTCCGTCTCAAAACAAAACAAAACAAAACAAAACAAAAAAAAAATAAAATAAAAAAAAGAAATAGTATAGTAAACCCTAGTATACTAAGTGACACACAATATATCTTCTGTATATCAAAGGCACTACAAAAAAGTGTAAAGATCCATGACAAACTTAAAGAAATTACAACATTTATGACAAAATAATAGTTAATAGATATTTAAAATATACATGTCATACAAATCTTGAGAAAGAACATAAAAACAAAATTGGAAAACGATATGGACGGGTATTTTAAAGGAAAATGAAATACCGATTATGACTAAACTTAGGATAAATTGACCAGTAATTTTTAAAAAATCATTAAATACCAGGCTATAGTGAGCACTCAAAATACGCCAATTGATTGAGGGCCTGATGAGACAGAGAGGGGAGGAGCATGCTTACTAAACGGGCTCCATTCTTCTGAGCTCACCAGGTTTGGTTGGGTTACTGGCCAGGTCCAGGATTGTTTTGCCTGCACAAGGTGAATCAATCATTTTGACCTGGGTTTTGCGAAAGAGAAAAGATTTATTTGCAAGGCCACTGAGTGAGGAGGTGGAAGAACAATTTTCACATCCTCCTCCCTGAAGATAAGGTTTATCATGGGTTAGGGAAGTGGGGTGGTTTAAGGAATGGGGAAATGCTATTGGCAGTGAAGAAAAATGGGAAAAATTAAGTAACAAGTTAGTTCTGGGCAAGCATAGTCAGGGTTGATGGTATTTCCTAGGACATATGTACAGAAAGTGGTGATGCTAGCTCACTGTAGCCTCGTATTTAATTGCTTTTTTTTAAATTACTGGTGAATTTATCTTAAGTTTGATAGTAATCGGTATTTCAATTTCCCTTAAAATATCCATGTCTATCTTTTTAAATTAGATTTTGTTTCTGTGTTCTTTCTCAAGATTTGTATGACATGTATATTTTAAATATCTCTCTATTAACTATTATGCTGTCCTAAATGTTGTAAATTTTTTTTTTAGTTTGTCATTGATCTTCATACTTTTTCATGATGTCTGATACACGGAAGATATATTGTGTGTGGTTTCAATGGTGATCTGAGGGTGGAGTTTTTGGTCTTCTAAAGTCAAAAGGTCATTTCTTGGGCATTTGTACAGTTGAAGGGTTCGTGGTCTCAGCTGGTTTGAGCTGGACAGGGGCTGGTCCAAGTTCCTGAAAAACAACTGAAGTGACCATTACCATGGTGACCTATGAATGTTATCTATAACATAGCCAGGGAAGGTTAAGTTTTAGTGTTCATCAGTGTAGGCTTCAGCAACCATGGCCTTCAGCTTCATGGAAAAAGAAAAAACAAAAACAAAAACAAAAAGCAAATGACCAGAAGCAAGCAGGGCAGGCAGACCTGATCAAATTAACCTCTCAGTTTCAGTTGTGCCCATCTATGGATGGCCAGAGCTCCTGCTGGCTGCCATTCTATTTGGCATCTTCCCCAGGTTTCAGACAACCGCTTGGCCTTTTGTCCCTCTAGAAAAGAGATGGTGTAGCTTTCTTGTGCTGCTGGCCTCAGAACTCTGCCCCGTGCCCCGTCCGTGTGCTTGACATTCACCTGCAGGTTTGTACAGAGTGCCTCAATTGCCCTATTGAGTTGGGCATCAGTTTCCCATGAAAATATATCATGCTAAATAAGACAACCTTAAAAATTGTTTTTTGTATGGAAACTTGACATTATGCTATGAAAATTACATGTTGGCCAGCCCTAAAATAAAAAGAAATTGTAATATATGTTATATTTAACATATATTTAATTTTTATATGTTATATTTAATGTATGTTTAATTTTTTTCACTAACACTGACAAAACAAGCAGAAACATAAGCTAAGAAATTGAACCTTGCAACAGTGAGAGAAGAGCACCATTAAACTAGGAATGTTGTAGAAACACTGATGAACCCTAACCCCGACCCTAACCCTAAGCCTGTGCATTGTGTGCTGTTTTCTCTCAGTGAGTGGAACTGTTTCTCAAAAAGAGATCTCTGTAAGCAAGTGTTTAGAACAAGCTTCTGAGGGATATTTCTTACTGAACAAGAAAAATATTGCTGGCATACCTCACTTGAGGAAAATTCTCCCTGAAAAAATAAGTATAAAACAGAAAACTATATAATGACCATTAAGATGAAATAAATGTATTAATAGAGGCATTTAAGAATATGAGAAACAACCTTGATTCGTAAATTCAGAAACTAAGAATAGAAATCAACATCAACAACAAAACCAAACCCAGGAATAAAGACAGTTGATGGAACAAAAAAGAAAGAAAAAGACAAAATGGTGTCAGAAATTAATAACAATTTATACAATTTCCAAGGGAGGATAAATTGAATTTTAACTTTGAATATTGATAAAAGGCAGGATAGCAGTCTTTCGCAGGATAGCATAAAAATGGGACTTTAAAGAAGGAGTGAAAAAGCAAAAATGGAAAGTAGTAGAAATAGGAGACAGAAAAAGAATAACGTTCATAGTGTTTTACTTACTGAAGAACAGCAAAAAAAGTAGAAAAGAAATATTTAAATTTATAATCCAACAAAACTT